ACAATCTTCTGATGATGAATCTGGGTCAGAGGTAGATAACATGAGAAGAGTAATTGATGCAAAAGACAGGGAAATCGAGTCATTGAAAAGACAAATTGCTGATATGAAGGGTACAATGATATCATATGTCAGTTTTTCAAAATTAATATTAATTTGATTATCTAAGTCAGAATGTGTTGAAACAGGATTATTATTTACTGAAATTTTATAAAGATAATATTAAATTATTATACCAAAATGTTTCAGCTGAAGTCTTTATAACAAGCTTTAAAAACTTAATAAGTAGCCTAACTATAATGATGGTTCTTTTTATATGTTTAAAACTTTAGCTTCAATTTTCTCTACTTAATTAAGATTGATTTATATTATAGATATGCAAAATTTACAAGATGTTGTTACCCAACTAAAGCATTCAGTGGGAATATTGGATCAGTTAGCTTCAGTTGGATTCAAATGCAAACAGCAGGGGATTGGTGCCCCTGACACAATTAAAGATGTTTCAAAACGTCCATCTTCACCAACTGTTACCATTGCTAACAAAGCTTCCAGTTCAGACAGTGAATCTGACAGTGTAAGTCATGTCCACATTTATACGCATAATAATTTACTGAGTGTTCAGTCAATTTAGCAGTAGAATGTTTCTGGTATTTCTTCAAATATAATTATGTGACAAAATAGACCAATTTTTATACCAGACAATATGGTTGGAGGTAATAGCATTTGTAATGGCACCACTGTTAGTGAAATTATATTTATCATTTATTGCTTTCATTTAGATCCTGCTTTGTCCGGGTGTAGAAATAAGCAAAGGGCAAAAGAGAGTCTTATCAAGTAAACTATCTGCCAAAGATTTTGTTTATTCAGCACTTCCAATAATTTGGTCAAGGGAGGTGCTGTGCACACATTCTGTGACTGGCCGGAAGTGCAATGCACATAAAGAAAGAGAAGCAAAGCCCCAACTTGATGCTGAGAAAGTGGATAGTCTTTGCAGTATGTACATAAGTATTTTAATCATTGTTCATTTTTACTATATTTTATGAACAAAATTTTATCAAATGTTAAACTATTTTTGTGATGTGATGTGATTTTCCAACTTTATGAAACTTCAACTACTATGAAACAGTTGCACAAGTTGAAATTAATTGGAATGTGTTATTTGTTTTAATTTATTAGGTTATGTGGAACAGAAATTTGGAGTCACTCAAAAAGAAGTGAGGAACCTGATGACAACGAAGATAAACAATATTATCAAGTGCTGCAAACAGCAAAAAATTGTTGAACAAAAAAATTATTAAGTATCATATATGAAACGTTTATTTATACGACCCATATATAGGTAATATATTATATGTACCAGTATTTATTTAAATCCTATTGCTTTATTTTAAATTATCTGTTGATTTAAATTAGCCCCTATTTACACTATACCGGATTCGCCTCGCATCACGAGATTTTCGTTTGCCGTTAAAGAAGCAATTAATGATTATAGTAGCAAATGCATATGTAAGCTTGACAGATTTGCCATAATTTTCTCAGTCTTTGACATTAAAAATCCTGACAGTTCATCAATATCTAGATGTAACCCACTCCTATAACATTCCAGTATAGTGTAAACGGGGCCTTATTAGGCTTATATATGTAATGTACATCCATGTCAGTATTGTAGAAAAAAGGACAGGCCCAACATTAAATTATTGTTAAAATTAGAAGAAGGTATCCTCATTATTATTTATATGTGTGCCATTGGTAAACTCCGAACATTTGCAAAATATTTCTTTAGGATTCTATAGTAATTAACATAGGAATTCGTTTTGGGTTCTATAGGAATTTCTTTACGATTCCGTAGAAATTCCTTTAGCATTCAATAGGAATTCGTTTAGGATTCCGTAGAAATTCCTTTAGTATTTAATAGGAATTCGTTTAGGATTCCGTAGAAATTCCTTTAGCATTCAATAGGAATTCGTTTAGGATTCCGTAGAAATTCCTTTAGCATTTAATAGGAATTCGTTTAGGATTACGTAGAAATTCCTTTAGCATTTAATAGGAATTCCTTGAGGATTCTATCGGAATTCCTTTAGGATCCTATAGGAATTCCTTTTAGATTCTATAGGAATTCCTTTCGGATTCTACAGGAATTCCTTTAGGATTCTATAAGAATTCCTTTAGGAAATCCTATCAAAATTCGTGTTACAATTCCTATTGGAAACGTCCGAAAATCCTATAGAATATCCTGTAGGAATTTCCTATAGGAATTCCTATAGGATTTTTTCGTAAGGGAAGTTAATGCATAGGTTACAGTGATAGTGCATTCCGGACATCGTCGAAGCTATAGGAGTAATATTGGAGACGTATTTCAGTTCATGTACTGCTCTACTTCAACTAACTGTGGGACTTGTTGACCTTAGATGTTCCCACATATATCTGCAGTAAGAACTTTGGGTGCAAAACACTGAGCTATATTATAATTCCTGGAGGACTGGTTCGTCATTTTTCGGTAACTTCGCCGCCATCTTTTCGAAGCAAAAAACATGGCGGACTTCACCTTTTGCGCAGTGCGCAGTGTTCCTCTGTGCTCATACCGTGTACTTGGTCGAGATGATTTGCTAACCTTGCTAAATTTATACTACCACAGCCAAATACAGGACAGTTCCTACGCGTGCGACGCATATTAAGATGATTGCTCAACAAATTCCTAATCATAATTGGCTCATTTTTTCGTGCGTCAGGTATTTTATTAGCCCCGTATTAGCCCCGGAAAAGTCCGGGCTTGTCAACGCAAACTCTTGCTTAAGGAAGACAAAGTCAAACGACTAAACAAGAAAACAGTGTAGTGCCCGGACAATATGTTTAAAATATTTGTAAAATTGTTCTACTTTATTATATTGTTACAAGCGTTAATCCGTGTCTTAATTTATGCTCCAAGCATCGCGTTGTCCATAACACCAATATATATTTCCCTTAAAAATGCATACATTTTTGCATTCGCCATACCCCCTTTTTCCTCCCTTTGAGGAGCTTGGGCCTGAAATATCTCATTGAGCAGATGAGCATCTTTTCATGAACATTTATGAGCATATGCTCATAGGCCCGTTTGGGCCCTATGTGGCCTTATATGGCACTATTAGGCCCGATGGCCCGATTGCTGACTGCGCGTCCTAACCCGCGATTATGGAAAAATATTCCATTAAATATCTATGAGAGCAAGTAAAACAGGAAATCCAGGGAGAACAAGCCAACAGTGTACTAGCCAGTGTACTAGCTCGTTTTTACTCAAACAAGCCACCTATGCGAAACAAAAAATACGGTTACCATATGAACGTCAAAGAATCGCGCGAGTATAGGCGAACATTTGTGTTAAATAACTGTTGACATCACATATGTAAAGACTACATTAACATATGTGACCTTCCACGGGAAAACATACGTTTACGCTATTTCGTTCGTTCAAAAATATCGTTCGTTATCCGTTCGTTTGCCGTTCAAACGCTTCAAGCGTTCGTTGAAACGATTTTCGAGATCGTTCATCGTTCGAAATTGCCCGTTCGAACGCTTAGGAAAAATCGTTCGAAAATTGGTCCAAAAGCGTTCAACGGTTTGATTTACCGTTCGTTGAAACGTTTGCCGGAATTTCGTTCAATCGCATTGGATTTGGTTCAACATTCGATTAAACATTTGCAATGTTACAACTTTAGAGAAGAAGCGCAGAATGTGTTACACAGAAATACTCCCAGAAATGTATTCAGTTCCTTAGTAGAAGGCTTGTAAAGGAAATAGTAGGGTTATATCATTTTAGCCTAATCGAATGCTTTTTTGCGCTTCATGTTCTGGTTTATGCTTAGCGTGCTCTTATTTCATTAGCGACAAATTTCACGTTATAAGCTTTCTTTTAAAAATTTATCGTTTTTGTGCTTCGGTAATGCACTGAATGGTTAGAATTTGTGTTTTAATATACTTCTGTAGCTTCTATAAAGCCAAAGTTCACCGCGCGCACAAACAACGTCGCAAGCCATATATTACAGCATTACGAGCCATAATATGCCTTGGCAAGGTGCTAATTAAGTTGCATAATTGTCGGAAGTCTGTAATGTATGTAAACAGACAAAACCAGATTTTAAAATCAGTAAATTGAGGGATTTTGCGTGTTACATATTATCGCACTTGTAAATTTATTTACAAAGTGCGATAAATTTAAGCTAATTTATTTACATCTGATAATCTGATAGCAGGGTCTCCGTCCGAAGCAGCTACTGATTAAAATGTATTCAAAATAAAGGACCGCATCCTAGGACGAGAATGCGGTTCAGCATTTCAGCTCGTTGTCTTTAATGCAGTCTGACATGCAAATTATATACAACAATTGAAATACCCTAGCTAATATTTGAAGACATAAATACAGTGACCTAACGCGCGTTCGGTAGGGTTAGGACGAGAACTAAAATAAGGTTCCCCAGTTATTGGGGGCCAGAATAGATAACGAAACATCATAGTATATGAGCAAAACGTGATCAATGACAAACAGCGAATTAAGGGACCCGGCAGTACCAAGTATATCTCAAGACCCCATCCTCTGTTCGTTATGCCACTGCATGAATATCCAAGCAATTTAAATATGACGCGTGCATCTAGTCTAAAACTGGAGCAGTGCCCCGCTTGCAAAATTGTCTTATTTCCTTAAAAGGGTATATTTGTCTCACCAGATCTAAGCCATCTGGCTCGATTGTTGCTGGCATGTTGAAAGGTATCAATTGGCATAAATATAACTTATGGCATAAATATAACTCATGCATTGTAAATGTTTATTTAGACTCTTAATTCACAAAAAAATTACTTCATATATGTTGATATATATATGCACATTTCAGCACAATTCACTCCCCATGCATGTAGCTATATTTTGGTTGTGATTTGATTTCTCTCGACTAGCTCCTCGAATCGGAAACGTGGAACGCGGAAAAGTCTCAAATCGTACAAATCATAGAGACTGTATGAAAGTAATGAAGCTATATCAATGATGTTCATTGTGTGACATTGTTTATTACAATAAAAAAACAAGAGTGTCGTACAATGAACATCATAATATTGCTCAGGGAAATTTAGCCTATAGGCTTTGATAATGCACAAAATATCATCTGGTCAACATAATTAGAGCTGTGGCCCGTGTGAAAAATATAACAAAACAGAAATTATGATCTATATTATACCATTTAAGTTTTGTTGATATTAAACTACGATAAACCATCAAAGACGCCGTCTACAAATTCCGTGTTTTGTGAGATTGAGTTTAGCGCTATGTTTTAACCAAGTGCGTGCAGCCTTGCGCACAACTGGCCCAAGCCCAAGGGCAAGTTGCCAAGCTAACGTGTACAAACATTTAAGTTTGACCTTTCGGATATTTCGCTTATATATATTTCGCCATACTTCATCAGAAAACGAACATTAGAATTTATCTTGCTTGGACAACATATCAGCTGCTTGGGCAACAGGAAAATATTCACTAATTTTGATTTGGGCTCCTTTATTAGGAAATTACATTCCGGATATTAAATTGCAATTATGCATGGTCATTGCACCTTGAAGCCTGCCAGCTAGAGCGGCAAAATGAACAAATTTGAAATGGCGCCTATCAACTGTTTATGCGTATATGAGCGCGCGGGTAAAGATCTTTACCAGTAATTTCGCGAAGACTAAACCAAATATTTGCTGGATATTAACATCTATATGGAGAAGTCAAGGCGTTTTACCCCTGCATATAAAGGTATGAGACTATACGAAACATTAGCTATTATATAAGGCAAGTCATGACTGGGCATACTTTATTAGGCGCGCTTGCATTATTTCCCTCCCAGCATTGAAATCAGGCTTATCGATGAAATCATCAACAGAATTCGTATTACGGTTGGCTCGATTTAAAGTTTTTTTTCCTTGAGTGTGTTTGCCTGGCTAAACTGTAGCTCTCTATTGATCCATGCATATATCGAAATATGACACGCATTCGAAGTAAGATTTCATATAGATGATCATGCAATTGTATATAACAAGACGTTCTCAATTGCATTTTATGTATATATGCTAACGCGAGTAAAATGGAGTCGGATATAAATGCGCACTGCAATATAATCCTTTAGATTACTTGCCATGGCCGGTGGAATCGAGTTGGGCCACGATCATCCAATCATTCCGAATAAACATGACATGAAAGGTTGCCAGACCTTTAAAATGGCTTGGCTGAGGTTAGAGTAGTTGTTAGCTTGGTGGTTACAATTTAATAGGATGCATTTACTCACATTGAAACAAC